TGCGAATCGAACAACGAGACTGTTTAAATTAGTTCGAAGGATGTTTTATGATTAATCGTTAAAATTTTTAAATAACAAATTCGAAACAGCTTTGTATATACAAATTTGGGAAGAAATTTCTATTTAAAAATTAGAAGATACCTTCAACTACTTAACTTAAATATCTTTGAAATATTAAAATATTTATCTGTCGCAATATATTCTCGGTTTAATACCACTGAACTTTTGACAAAACTTCTGACAAATAATTAAAATATCACGGTACATTTTTCGTGCAGAGAATTTCGAAGGAAAGTATTTGAAAATATGTACTTTCTAGCCTTCGAAATGGAAAATAGTGAACGAACGTTAAGTGACAAATCAACTCTGTCAGAATTAGACACTACTTCCGATGCTGGTAACGCGTTCGTTTCGTCTGCTTCTGTTCATCGTACCCAAAGTGGAAACAAAGGATTATCCTACTATATTCTTACTATGACGTTTACAAAACATGTTTTTGTGTGTCTTCCTTCCATTTCCTTACACCATTCGTATCAGAGAATTACTTTACCACGTTGCTCCGTTACTCGAGTATCAATCTTTCGTCTTTGATCAGTGATTACACGGCTGTACCTGTTCAGCGATTCAGGATACGTTGAAAATTTGTTGTAAACGTCCAAATACGAACAAGGTGAGATAATTATTTAGTTCTGTTTCATATACGCTGCTGTTTATAATTATTACGACACCCATTGTATCATTTCTTCGCTACAGTTAGTATTGTATATCAGTAAAAATGCATGCATCTGTTTTAATACGAGATTGCAAATTTAACAATTTTGTAACGACTGTTCAGGTTCGTTTCACGTTCAGCAAGTGCCCCAATAATTATGAACGAGAGTGTAGAATGAATACGAGCAGATAAGTTAATAATGTCTCTAAATTCTGACAGGATCGATTTTATGGCCTACAATCAGCAAGCACTTTTCTTCAGCTTAGTGTGTACCACCTTTGCTGTTAATTCTGCAGTTCATCCCAAAAGCGCGTGATACGTTGAATCATTTAAGGGATGAATATAGAATTCGTAATGTGAATACAAATATATAATCAATTTTAGCTGTAAAATGAAATTCGTACATGAAATTGCGTTTCAACGAAACTCTGTATAAGGATAGCAGCCTTAAGGATTAGGGCAAACAAAGCTGTTACATGACAGTATAAAGAAAAACTGTCTTCCTTGGAAATATTCTTTTACTTTGCACTAATACATTAGCCAATAGTAAGAACAAGAAATATACAAATTTTAATACAGCAATTCAAGATGTTCTACGTTTGTATTTGCATTAGCTTCAATTTATTGTACAAAATTTGTTTAATTTTGGAGAACACGATATTAAGTCCTTTCAGTAATTTCTATAATTTTCCTTTTAAAAATTTCTGCAAACAGAAACATAATTATTTAACATTTCATAACTTCAACACTACAATTTCTTCCTTACTTTTAACATTCTGTATCATACATTTTAGGCTAATATCGTTTATTAATAATGAAACTTTTAATAAACTGAAATAACACTGAATACACGTCGAGCCGACGTTTCTCTCACGATTCAAATTAAAATTTTCCGTTTACATGTCAACTTCTAAATTAAAGCATGGATTGCCAAATATTTCCAGCTACAATTTCACAACAGCTCTGTTTCCTTATTTACCAAATAAACAATTAGCCACTAACGATACCATTACAATTATTGTGACAATCATCGTAATAATTATTGCTTAACAATTCCGTCAAGTGCTCCCAATAATGCTTGAAAATCGGCTCGTTGAATTGCCCTCGTTCGAGAGGGTTAGCAACCCTAATCAGGGGGGAGGGGTTATTATATCGCGGAACGGTGGAAAGTGACCTGATTGGAGGGCAATTTGTCGCATCCCTAAAACCGTCGATCTGTGGAAAGGGAAAGTTCAACTGGTTTTACCATTTGTTAATTGACCCAAGAGACCTATAGTCCCAAAATTTTCTTTAAAAGCGGTCGTCACCGCGTAAAACTGACCATTCGTCATCGGTTCATCCTCAATGTAACGAACTTCGTGCGTCTTCGAGATCTCTGATCTGATTTCACCGGCGAACAGTAATTTCTACAATGTTTTCATCGTCGTTCGATTTCGCTAAGAGCACGTCCGTTAAAAAAGAAGTAAGTACCGAATTGTTTAACTTTAATCGTACATGTGTGTATTTCTCTTTCGTAGCATTTGATCGAGGATAGAAAAATTCTAACGCAAAGTGTTTCCAGTAGAATTCAAAATATTTGTATCTTTCTTTTTAAATCTCTGTATTTCTGTTCATTCGTTCTAATTTATTTTGAATACTGAAAGTAATTCTTTGGTTGAATGATGCGACAAGCAAAATTTTGTATAGAATTATTAGATATTTCTCTTTTTTTTTACAGAATCCAAGCATTTCCTCAGCATCAGGAGGCTCCTCGTTGGAAGAATTGAAGAGCAGAGTGGCGATTCGTTATCTCGTGAGAAAAACGAAGAGATTCGATCTCCTGAAGCAACAGATGCAAACTAAATTGCAAACGATCGCAGAGAGGACGGAACAATTGCCGGAATGTTTGGTGTATCTAGGCCTCGCGCCGAAAAACGCGAAAATACACGATCGACCGATTCGAAAATTGGAGAATCTATCCGACTTCCAGTTTCTCAAACCACGAGTCTACGAGTGCACCTACTGCACCAAGGTGTATTTCCACAAGCTCCTCTACAGGAGACACATGATCCGTCATCTGAAGAAAATTCATTGGTGCATGAAGTGCAGCCGTGGATTCACCACGAAAATTTCGAAGAAGAGACACGAGCTGACATGTCGACGTTGAATCATTCGATTCGCACCATGAGCACGTTTCTTTCTTTCTTGAAGAGAAAGTGAAGACTGTTCGGAAACGTTGACGATTGTATATATTGTACAATTTAGATTTTCAAGAGGACCGTGACAATTTTTGACTGCATTGACGAATGAATTGATCCTGTGATTTGAGAAATGATAATATATTTTTTGCAAGCGTTTTTAAGAACTTCGGAGAATGCAGGGACGAGAAATTGTTGGAGTTGTTGTGATCTTAGTTAGTCTTGTAAATATTGTAAAATAGTATATTTTAAGGCAATTGTAAGGCTGTTTGACTGTATCGTTGAGTAATTTTGTTTCCCACCCAGTTCTGTATGAATAAATATATTTTTTAGTCATTTTTTCGCTTTTCTTTCACTCTCAAAATATCTTTTCTATTTTCTATTTTACAAATGATTGCAAGTGTTTTATTTACAAATCAAATTACCGAATGCCCTAGATTTAAAAAGTCGAAGTGTTGAATGCCGTACATTAAGAAAATTATATTGTGGAATGGCTTAAATTTAAGAAATTATATCGTTGAATGCCTTAAATTTAAGGAATTACATTGTTGCATGTCTTAAATTAAAAAAATCAAATTGTCGAAATTTCACATTTGACTATGATTCCAACTCATGGCGATTGCTTCGAACATCCTTAGATCCCAATGACGTCATCTCGACTTTGTCCGTTTTATCTGCGTTCTTTTTGAAATGCTCGAGCTTTGGATTATATCGTCATTTATCATTATTCGTTTGTTTTCCGTTGGAAATGAGTCAACGCGATTCACGCGTATCTCCCATGGTTCCTCACAAATTCACAATACACATTCTTCGTTTGTCGATTGTGTTTATGTTTGCGTGGTGGTTTCCGTGAAGATAATAAAAGAATGGAGTAAAATAATTCTTCTTTATTTCATTGTACTATAAACTTCGTAACAGTTCAAACCTCGCGTACATCTTACACACAGGATAATGCATAAACTATCTTTCGTCAACTTAAATAAATAAATAGAGGAATATGGTTTTATACAGTAATTTTAAAAACTAATTGCGCAGTCACCTGTTGTTTCGCATTGTTCTTTGCATTGATTATTTACAATTATTTATGAATTAAACATATATATCACGAATTTAGTACTTTTAGAAATCCAAGGCTGCAGTTCTTAAAATATTCTAGTATGACTAAGATTTTGTACATTGCTATAAAATATTCTATCGTAAAATTTAGTATCGATAGAATGAAATATCACATTTAAAGTTAGCTACAGTTCGTTTACTACCTGCCGACTAATAAATAATAATTACCGACAATATTACCCAACAAATCATTTTGATTGAAATAAATGTGATGTTTCTTATTGCGATTTTATTCCAACACGTTTCAACGCAGAATGCATTATTAACTGCTACGTAGATATTACGAAAAATGCATTACAATGTCTACAGCATATTTAAACCATCAAAAATATAATAAAAGATTCGTAAATAGGAATGTTCGTTCCCTGTACGATAATCGTTGACAATATGCATTCTTTCATCGCGTAAAAAGCTCCAATTGTGCACAGCCATTCGACGATAAAAATTTCACCGTTGTTCATATCACACAGTGTTCTCGTAAAATAATCTCAATTTTCTCATGCTGTTTTCGTCCATCTTAATCAGTCTTTAATACCTAACATCAATACTCGATTGTCATGATAATCATTGTCTTTTCACTTCCCATAATACAGACTTCTCCTCGAAAAATCGTATGGAACGGTCCAAAACAATTCTTACACAAAGCGTACCAAATCCAATCAAACCTCCAAGATAACCAAATTCTTTGCCATAATCTCAGAAAGCTCACGAAGCCCGAAATACAATCTTCACAGGCAACACAGCAAATCCATATCACGATCCAAATCCAAATCACCCAATCGTCTCACAAAACTTCCACGAAAAACCGTCAACTCTCCAACAGAATCTCCACCAAAAGCCACAAAAAAAAAAAAAAACAGAAGCATTCAGAACTCTCTGAAATTCAGCGCTTCGAGAACCAACGAAAGCTTCGATCGTTGAAAGATCCACTCGTAAACCTCGTCACTGTGCCTCGATCAGGATCTGTCTCCTGCGCGAGCAGTGATGGAAATATTCGAAATGTCTGCGTAGAGCGCTGATACTGTAGGATCTTGTCTTGCAGTAAGGACATCTCAGCTGCCGTTTAGCATGGCAAACCTGATGCCTGTGACTTGCCGTACGACTGTAGAATCGTTTCCAACAGTACATGCAGTTGTAGACTTTCGGCACGGCGAATACGTGGCTCTTTTCGTCGTGATCGTTCTTGGTGTACGCCTGTCGATGGTCCTCGATCTTTTTCTCGCGACGATCCTCGATTCTCGGCGATCGAGGCTCGTCGTAGAGACCGAAGTCGAAGTACGACGGATCGAGATTGCTGGTCTCCAGCTGTGACAACGCGGAAACGTCGTCGAACAGCGCCAAAAGCTGTAACATTTTCCGTTCCAGGTTCGGTCGATCAGGTTTACAGTTTGCGATATTATAGACAGCTTGTTCAATGTTCAGATAGAGTGGTTAGGTTGGGCAATTTTGTGGGAGATTTCGTGGAAATAGTGGCAATTTTGAGAATCTAATCTTGAGGAAAGATGAAAATTCTTCTGGTTTCTTTTGATGTGTTTTGTTATACGTATGACGTCTTTTTTTTTTTTTGTTAGTTTTTAGTTGTTGAGAATAGAGAGTTTACTAGTAATGATGTAAAGGGAAAATTCTATCGTGAACTGTAATTTATTGCAACTTATGAGATAAAGTGAAGGTAATAAATTCTGTTATACTCTTCTACGTTAGTTAGTAACGGGTGGAAATGTTTTTACTTTAAATGTAACCTTGTTAGATTTCTGTCATGGGCAAGATTTTACTATGTTAGTTTCATTCTGATTATGTGGATAGATGTGACGAAATAGCGTGCAAACGCTTCTCTGTAAATTGTTATTCTAAAAATGTTCTAAAAAAATGTTTTTAGTTGTAGGAACTGAAGTGTACAAATTTTAAAAAATTCGAGCTACTTCTACTATATACACACGTTACTTCGTAATCAATACAAACAATTTCGTTCTAATTTAAAAAAACAAGGAATAAAAAAAGAAATTGAATATATTTTTCTTTAGACATTACATAAAAATGAAATTAAAAATTTTCATTTGATGTGACGAAAGAAGAAAGATGTTTAAAATATTTATTAGACAAACGTTTAATTTTGAAGAAAATCAAAGGATTCTCAGATTGTCAAATTTAAATTTAGATATTATAGTACATACCTCGTAGTCAATTTTGTGTATTTTCTCATTTTCCAAATTCGCCATAATTATCGCGGTAGATACTTTATCGCCTATACGATCGAATGTACAATATTTCGTGAGAAATGGAACAAATATAAACTAGCGCTACGAAAGATCTTCTTCTGGCTTGGCCTATTTCTTTGACGAACAGTGGGTAAATGACAAGTCTTAACAAAGGTCTCATTCGATGTTTATGTCGCAGCCTTCAACCACCCCTATTTATGGTGGTGGGGGTATCTCATTATACCTGACAAACTTGAAGAAAGATAACTTTCGATTGGCCATTTCGTTTTTGGAGAGGGGAAGACTGTAACTATTGGTCATTCCCTAAATGTACGAATTTTTCTCTGGGCGACCGGTTAATAGAAAACTTTTTAACCCCGTCTTATGCTCGCGAAGAAATTTGTTGGAACTCTTCCCTTTTCTCGTTACATGTTAATTAAATTTTTTAACGTATATATTAATTATTTCGTTTAATAATTATTTAGAATTTTTTAGTTCGTCTATATTTTATATTGCATAAAGAAAGTGTTTATAAATGATGTATTTTCTATTTTTATTATTATCCTGCTTCCGCTTAGAGTAAAATGGCCTAAGCCAAATTCTACCTTTTTCCTTAGGCGTGCCGAAAAATATTATTTTATGTAGTAAAATATTACGCATAATAATTTGCTCGCATAATCTAAATTTTTCTTAAGAAAAGGATCGATGAAACATAAATTTAATTTTATTAAATTTTTCACTTGCAACTTCTTCGTTAGACCATTTTCATAATCTGAAGTAAATCGTAATCAGAGTCTGTCTTTTTAATCTCATAGAATAATCTGTTTATAATTCGCCATTATTATTGCACAAGTAATTAAATATAATAAAATTCAATTTCATATGTCCTCTTCGTTAGCAAGAATATTGTTTAAATATTTCAACTGTCAGTAACTCCTTGTTACAATAATCCTACACAAGAATATGCTGCATTTGCAATTATTCCAAACTCAACTCTACCGTAACAAAAGAAAACTTGCGTAAGTCCTAACGAATCCTTCATCAACAACACCCGTAGTTAAAACAAAAGATCGATGTCATACAACCGAACAATTAACCAAAAACAAAAATGCGCCGTTTTAAAACCAGCTGACACATTTTCAATCGCGTTTCATACCGTTGGGCTAATGTAACAGCAGCAAAATTGAAACTCGTTCCCGTGAAAGCAATTCCTCGAGCTTGTTCCTCCATTAATCTCAATCGTTCCGTACCACCGAATCGATCGTTTCAAGATCGATCGGTATTGTCTCGTATCCCGCGAGAGCCTGGACCTCTGTGGATCAGAAATGGGTCGTGGTAGCACTTAGCAAGTGGGTGGTACCAGAGTAATCTTGTTCTCATACATAAAACATACAGAGCGGTATTATGTTGCCCTGCCTTCTTCTGACTTATCGTCGAATAAGACTCACGGTCACTACTTTGCGTGATCCGCAGAATGCTTTCCTCTCTATCATCAAGGAATTCGACGAGTTTCCATTGGCATACCGCATAAATTGAGATTTCGAACGGGAAATAACTTTTGGTACGGGAGATCATGCGAACTGGACTATATATTGCACTTGAAATTAGAACGAAATAAATTTGCGCGATAAATTAATGAAAGATAAGATTTTAAATAAATTTCTTTTTGGAACAATCTTTCATTTTTCAATTTTGTGAAATAGAAACAGCATAAATTGAGATTTCGAACGGGAAATAACCTTTGGTACGGGAGATCATGCGAACTGGACTATATATTGCACTTGAAATTAGAACGAAATGAATTTGCGCGATAAATTAATGAAAGATAAGATTTTAGATAAATTTCTTTTTGGAACAATCTTTCATTTTTCAATTTTGTGAAATAGAAACAGCATAAATTGAGATTTCGAACGGGAAATAACCTTTGGTACGAGAGATCATGCGAACTGGACTATATATTGTACTTGAAATTAGAACGAAACGAATTTGCGCGATAATTAATGAAAGATAAGATTTTAAATAATTTTCTTTTCGGAGCAATTTTTCATTTTTCAATTTTACGAAATAGAAGTGTGTTATGTCAAGATATATTTTTCTAGTTCCGAGGTATTTCTGTTGGATCATTAGTTTCACAGCCTGGTCGTTATATAGTTTTATGGTTTTATGGATCATTTAATGCAGGTGAGGTGTTATTGCTTTTGGGTAATATAACATGCTATTTCCCGTGAATAATAATCGTTGGAATGTACTTGGAGAGAATGATTGGCGGAGGAGTTCCAAGGGGTGGTTATTAAAACGAGAAATTAGTTACATATTTAATAGTCTTGACGACGAAAGCGAAGGACGAAATTTGTGTATTACTTGTATAATAATTATTACGAATTTCTCTCGCATAGTGAAATTTTTAATAAAAATTTTCTATAGCAAAGTACGAGTATTTTGAGATATTTATTAAATTTTCTATTTTAAAGTCGCCCAAAAAATACTTCAACGACATATCAGCGATTTCTTCGTGCAATCATTTCATAAATTTTCGTTAAATAAAAAATCTTCAAAGAAAGCAAAAACTTGATAAATATTTTAACACTTCAAAAAATCCTTCGCGTTTAATTCTTAAGAATCGATCTGAATCACACCGTATTGAAACTGCAAGAAACGTGAAGACCGGAGTTTGCACTGCGCCTCGATGCTGTAAAATAAACAGAGGATCGTGTAAAAAGGGCGAAATAAACCGAGAGGATGATCGTTTCTTCATGACGCGTGCATCTACATATTACGGCCATATATTCGATGATATTTTAAATGGCGGCGTGCATCCTATTACAGTGTTGACAGATTTGTACCAAGACGCCGACGTGGTTCGTCCTCTGGTGAAGAAAAAGTAAGGGGGAAAAAAATCACCGAAAACACCGGCAATCAACCCTTCTTCTCTCGCTCCCGTTCGTGGTTTATCAACGCGGTCTAACACGAGCGCACACGATACGCGTGATTAACGAGGATATTCTCGAAAACCGACACGGCAAAATTCTGCGTCGTGCACACAGAATTATAGGCTACCGGTTTATTTTCATACAGAGTTTCCCAGCGTAAACTTTGTTGCAAATGCTTGCAAGAGACGAGAGTACGGATTAAGCAACGCTCGTGGATTAATCTATGTAAATTAATATAAGTATTATATTAATGAGAATGATTGGTTGGTTTATTTGAATAATTGTATTAACCAGAAGTGAAACTTTAGTATAGTAATTATTGCAATGACAGTTAAAAGCAAAGATTTTGCTTTTGTGGTAAAAAATGCATGTCAGATTTGTTTTTTTTTTTTTAATTTAAAGATGCCTGGCATTTGAGCATGTTTGCTAAAGTAAAATTATGTTTTCTGAAATTAACGTTTGAATGGCTATCGGTAACATTGTGAAACAGCAGGCAATTTAAATTACAGAAGTTTAATAAAAGTTATTATTTTCGAAATTTTACACTATCAAAGTAATGTGCACAAGAAATACACTATTTGTTCATTATAGATATTCAATTTTTCTGATTGCACTAGAAAATTAATTAATTCAACAAGTCACAAATTTCTCCCCATTAAATCCCCTTCAATATCCGACCTAAAAAAAACCAAGTTTATCAACCATTTACTTGCCACATTTCATAAAGTGTGAAGCTTCCAAAGAACCACGTACCTCGTCAAAAAAGACACACATTAACAAATCGCATAAAAATCTCTAATAATCCAACGACAGTCTAATCACCGTAAATAAAATACGAAGAAAACACTAACATCTACTATCACAGTATCTCCATCAAACACTGAAATTTCACGCTCTAATAACTAGCTTCAAATTTGCAAAATCACCTAAACGATCGCCGGATCATTCTCCAATCATCGTACAACCCGCAGACGGCACCCAATATCCAACAATCTTCATCGTGATTATTCAAAGTACGCTCGATATATTCCCTCCTCGTCTCGGTTATATCGAATGTCTCTAATTCGCGGCGAGCACACAACGAAATTAATTGCAACACGGTGTAATGGATGCACAGCGAGAGAAAACGAAGGAAGGCACGCGAGCGAGTAATAAATAAACCGGGGGTCGGATGAGTGAAAACCGGTGATTTGAGAGCCACTGAGATGAAGTCGGATAAGATTCACCC